GACGTACTTGATTTGCCAGAAGACAAGCTTTGGAAGAGACAAACCAAACACACATCTCTATTGCATAAGGTTTGGGGGAAGTCCCTACCCGATTGTTAAGAGGGGCATTTTGCTCCCAATTTCTCAGTATTGAAACACTGTCCTGCTTTCTGCAAGGTCAGTGTAAGATTGAAGGACTAATCAGAATGCGGCTGGCCACAGTATGCATGCACTTTCCCTCCAGGAAGCTCCGAGAGGCAGGATCCTGGTACCAAAACACATTTTAGATCACGTGGAACTTTCCACAAGTCTGTTGAGTCATATTGCAGAAACGCAAGATGCAGATACCTCCTCAGGCACGTGCAGAGTTGCTGTGGTTAGAATTTCTCATGGCCCCATCAATTGGTGAAATCCTTCCCGGAGAAACTGCATTTCAGCGGAACAAACAAGCGGAACCCACATTTAAGCTCTCCAGGGAAAGCCCTCACCACTGTCAATGAGCATGGGGTTTTCTGGCATAACTTTGAAAAGACAGAGAATTGCTCTCACATGCCTGATAGATAGAGCCCCCTTCATCCCAGAGCACTGTGACATGCTTTTCAACCTGATGCACAAAGTAGATCCAATCAGTTGTAACTGATATCTGGGGCACTGTGTGGTTCCACCACTCAAGGTATCTGGCCTACCGTACAACTGCCTGCACGGCCAGGTAGGCCAACTGCCATCCTGGGCATGTGTCCAACAAGATGGAAACGCAGCCAGTGAAGGGGAGACATTGCTAGATGAACCTATTCAGTTAATGCAGTTAACAAACGGCTACCTCACATGGGCCAAAATACATGGATAAAAGATCAGGTGCTCACTAATGCATCACCTGTGGTCACTAAGCCCTTCACCATGCAGGTGCCAAATACCAACGATCCTGGGCTACATCAGAAAAGCATGGAAGGTTGTACTCTGCTTTAGTTTCCATGCTGCTCTTCACAACACAAGCAGGGACATGTCCAAAGGTAACCACGGAGTGTATTCTGCCTGGCTAAAGTACCAAGGTAGCTTCTTTGAGCACCCGAGGGCCCAATTATTCTGTAAGCAGCGAGCTCATGCTAATCTGGGCATCCTGCCACCCAGACAGACAAGCTACCCTACACCTGCAGGGAGAATTGCTGTGTACCACAGTAACAACACCTGCAAAACTCCACCTTTTGAGGGATTTCATCTTCCATGTTCATGTCATCATGGACAAACGCCCTGCTTCAGGCAATCTCTGCATGCATGCCTGCACAGACATCAAGCCCTGCCCTAGTTCAACCCCAGCACCACCAAGAGTTGCCCAATACACCCAGACAGGCCTTCTACCAGTCTCCTCCAGGTAAAAAGTCCAGCAACACTGTGCATAGTGCATCCAGCTGCACTGTGTATAGCAGGAAGTGAAAAACCCTGCACGCAACTGAAACTGCAGAAGGAATTCAGCCAAGTGAAAGGCAATAAAACAAGATGGACTCTGGCCAAGACTCCAAGATAAATATCCTGACTCAGAAGCACACAGATTCCTCAAGTGTACAGATACCCGTGTCTTTGATGTTTCACTTGGCCCAAAGGAGAAGACCTTGGATAACAGAGCCCCAAGGCTAAGCTGAGACCTTCACTCTGCACCAAGGCAGAGGGAAGAGCACCCCTACCAGACCCCAGGTTTCTTTGGAAGGATCTCACTTCAGATCAGATTCTGTCCTGGTGCTGCTTTCATGGGTGTGCTCAGCACCTAAGGTCCTACATAAACTGTAAGACAATGAATGCTAGCCAGGGGCAGTTAACAGTCACAGAACCTCCTTAGGGTTTCTATCGCTTGTAAAATGTGGAATATGGAGAGCGTGAAGTGTAGGAAATTGAGGAGACAAGAGGCAGCCCCATAATGAGAACACCTCTATCCTGCCCTGTACCTGAACAGGCAGTGCCAGAGGAAGGCCTGAGCTGTTGCAAGTTTGGTGGAGGCTATAAGAGGGCAGCCCCTAGGACTCAGGGAAATGAGTTTTTGCATTTTACCAGGCATTCTACATGAGTCAGAAAACTGACATTAAATGTACTGCTTGACTCCATCTCTAACCACAGCTCTGAGCCTAGAGAATAGCTCTGGTTATTGGAACAGCCACAAAAACTTTCATCTCCAGTTCTGCTAGTCCTCTGTGCTTACCAGTGACCATGAAGAGGGAGGACAAAAGCCAGCGAATAGTCCACGACAGGTCCTGGATACATATAGGCCGCAGGCAAGAGACCCAGCAAGATGACACTGAGAACTCGCTCACCTGCCCAATGCAGAGATGCAGCCTTGGAGGGAGCTGGAATAAAAAAAAGCATTTTCAGAGCGTAATTTCTGCTTGCAGGGTTCCAAACCAAGCAACAGCTCCTCTGTCTGAGTAGTTTCACATGCGCTGCTTAGCTGGGCAATGCTAGGATGCCTTCAACTTACTTGTCTTCCGTACTGTCTAAAATGACATACTGGCAAAAGCCCTCCTCCCCATGCCCGTCGGCTTTGCACAAAGGAAAGTTCCATCTGTTAGAACAGACTGAAAATGCAACAGCTGAAGTCAAAGGGAAAGAGACCTTTTAGTTTTGTGCCCTTCTGTTCCATAACAGGTCCCAGTACAACCACCAAAGGACAATCGTAAAGTGGTTTGTTCTAGTGCTTAGTCACAAACTGCTTGCAGCCACAGACCTCACTGGTTCTGCTTTCCTATTCCTGCTCAGAACATCACGAAAGGAGAGGATGAAAAGCCGGGCCATGTCTGGAGAAAACCCAACAAGATACTTGGGCTGCACTTCCAGTTCTGCTCCCAATTCACTGTGCGGCCCAGGGCAACCCACTGACCTGCTCCGTGCCACAGCTTCTCAGTGAAGGCAAAATTACAAAGCATCGATTGTGAAGTTGTGTCTAGAATATAATACATGCATCGGAGCACCTATCTAAATATTTGACTTCGAACAGTCTAAAACCATAACGTCATACAAAGATTTAATTTGAATTGTACCAAAAATCAAATAAAAACATTTCTGCACTCTGCAGGATAAAGGAATTCAGAACATTTTTGCTACAGCACTGGAATGAAAGTACTTGCAACAAGGCAGCTGTTGAGAGGCAAGGCTTGTGAACTAGCCGTTACCATACCATCCAAGGAAGGCCTACCACTTTAGTTCTGCTCCTGTGAGCACAGTGTTCACTGAACACTGCTTTTTCTGTGCACTCTAACAATAAAACATCACTGGGAAATTCATTTTATCCTATGAAAAAGGACACTGAATTTTTCAGCCCTAGCAAACAGAAAGCATCATTTTAAAAAGGAGGACCTGAAATTTCAGGCAATACCAATTTCCACACAAGTCAAAGGAAATGCCACATATACGTATGGAAAATTTTACTCATTTAAACCACACCATTTACGACACAAGAAATGGAAATGATACCAAAGGGGGCAGATGATTGGGACCGACCATAAAGGGGAAGCCCAAATATCAACTAACACAACCCAAAAGCTGATGTTCTCAATAGAATTTTTGTGCATAGAGATGAACATGATTAGATGTGGTAGAGGAAAATTTAACCCAAAATCACTAGGTCTCAAACCCCAGGCACTCCTGCTTCTAATGACATACCAACGGTATTGGGAGGTGTGTGGATTTGACGCGTCAGAGTCAGACGATCAAAGGTGGTTGGAGATGCAACAATGGGTCTGGTCAAAAGGATCTTACTCAGAAGAACTGGAAAACAGAACCAGGAGTAAGTAATACATGTTTACACCTCACCCAGAGTTAAAGTTAAAGCCCTGGAAGACTTATTGCAACAATTTGCACTTGAAGAAAAAAGAGTCAACAAACAAGATCTACCAGAGGCCATAAAATCCTGCCTATGAGAACCTGGAGCACTCCCTGAAAGTCCTCCCTTGAATTCAGAAGGAACTTGGCTTCCCTGTTTCGGGAAGTGACTCACAATATTTACAAGGCTGATAACCATGTGTTCCAGGCTTTCCTTACCAATCATTTCACAATGGAAGCCACACACATCCAGAAGTTAAACAATCTCCGGTCATAACATTGCTTCAAGATGTCTAAAAAAGGGAAAGGCCGTAACCACCCACGTCAGCACAACAGATTCTGCAAGGGTGTCACAGGTGTCGGGGAAATCTCATTCTCCCCGAGATGACAAGGAGTCAAGCAGAAAACACTGCTCTGCCTTCTCAGTACAGAACTCCCACACGTCAGTGCCAGGTCAAGGCCTTTGAGCAGCTGCGTCCTGGACAAGTCCCACGGGGACCTTGAAGCCAACAGAGGTTGGAGGAAGCAAGTCAGTGACATGCGAGCCCAGGTAGCACACAGCCCCGCCACCGCTCTGAAGGCCAGGGAGCAGGCACAGCTGGCGCTTCTTACTCTAATGGCTCTGTGCACAGAGTCCCCTGGTTTCAAAGGACGTCATCGTTAAAGGCCTCCAGAGAAGTGGCCGGACCGCGTGCTCCCTGGGCTGGGGCACTGCAGGGCTGCGCCGGGCAGGCTCCGGTCCGGGCTGCGAGCCTTTGGGGGACAACGGGAGAGAGACAGGAACAGGAGGGGAAAGACGCAGGGGCGCTTCAAAGCACGGGCACACGCACCTACCAGCATAGGGAAACACACGAATGCACACCCACATGTACACGCACATGCATACAGGCACATGGAAACACGAAGGCACGCGGGCACACCCGCCACCCCCGCACGGCCCCGCCATGCGAGGGCGAAGCCCCGGGCCCGGCGCGGGGAGGGAGGGGTGGTGGGGTGGGTGTCTCCGGGCGCCCCGCACTCACCACGCCCCGCGACCCGCCCCGGCCCAAGCCGCAGCCCCGCCCGCGCCCAGCTCGCCGCCATCATGTTGCCGCCGTTCCTTCTCCACCGCGCCCCAAGGACACGGGAACACCCGGAAGCGGAAGCGCGTTCCGGCCTTCCACTTCCGGCGCGACCACTCGTCACTTCCGGTTCCGGCACCGTGGCCGTGGCCGTGGCCGTGGCCATGGCGGAGGCGGGCGGGCGGGACCCCGCCGTGTCCGAGCTGCGGGAGCTTGTGGCGGCTGAGCAGCAACGTGCGCAGTTCACGGCACAGGTGACCCCCCCCTCCCGCGTGCAGTTTTGGGCGCTGCCGGGAAAAGCTTCCACCACCAGCCCGGATTTTTGACCTTATTTAAAGAAACCCCCCAGGATGGATATGGGAGGCCCCGGAGCCAGGGGACCCCTGGGCAAGCCGCCGGGGGGCGGGAGGGCGCGGGGGCCGAGCGGGCTATGAGCAACCGTCCTGCCCGCAGGTGCACAACTTCATGGAGGTGTGCTGGGACAAGTGCATGGACAAGCCCGGCTCGAAGCTGGACCATCGCTCGGAGAGCTGCCTGGCCAGCTGTGTGGACCGGTTCATCGACACCACCCTGTCCATCACCCAGCGCTTCTCCCAGATCCTGCAGAAAGCGGGGCACTGAGCATGGCCGGCTTCGGCCTCCTCCTTCAGCCCCAGCAGACTCTTGTGAGCTGGCCCCGAGGGCGCCTGTGCACTGCTGAGGTGTTCCTGCCGCAGCCTGGAGAGGCTCTGCCCCACGGGCGCGTCTGGTGCTTTCCCGCTTTTGTATAACTGTGTCGTGGGCGTGCAAGGTGCGGCTTAATAAACCACCAAGAATCCTCCTCCTTGCAAGTTCATGGCACAAAAGTCTCCTCTCCCCTTTCTTTAAATTTAGTGAAAGGAAGATTCGCATTGTTTGTAGTGGGGGGGCGGGGAGAGAGTGGGGGTAGGTCAAGTAACTGCCCTACCACCAAACTGCACTCTTTAAAGAAGATCAATGAATGACCACAATGGAAATAGCTTCAATGCAACTAGGAAAGCAGTAAAAATATTTTCTGCTTGTAGTACAACCACTGGCCTGGCTGCATTGGGCTAGGGCACCGGTTCCCAAACTCTGACCAATTGCACATCACCAATTTAAAATGATACAACCTTAAGTACCACCAGCAAATTTTTGTCCTATAAAGTCATTATGATAAATCTGTGAATGTGTACCCCTGACAGGTTGTCTGCGTACCACTGGTGGTACGTGTACCCCAGACTGGGAGCTGCTGGGCTAGGGTATGAGAGCCAGCAAGCGAATCTCATCAAAAATCAATTGCCCCGCTTATTTTTACAGTTTGGTAAAGCTCACTGCAGTATTTCCTCCACTTTGTCATTGTACCTGGCAGGGCTACAAGGGAGGTCCTGGAAATACAAGCCCAGCTGTGAAATCAATGCGGTTAGGTCTGCCCGGAGCTTGGGGGTAGCAAACTTGTACTGCAACTACATAAACAAATGCAAACCCTCATTAGCGTCCCTGGATTAATTCTCATTATAAAAAGTTTGGCTAAATCTATTTGCAAGGGACAGGAGGCATGGTACTCAGTTATTGTTAGAGGATGTTACAGAACAAGGCAGAGCTCTCTGCTGTCAGAGTAAAACAGACTCCTAAACTTGGGCACTAAGGCCCAAAGGCAGGTATAGTTTTATTTAACAGTCTAAATGTCTGTAAAAAAAAAAAAAAAAAAAATCAAA